TTAAAAATTTGGTCTTCCCTGTTGATTTCTATATTCTTGAAATGGAAGCCGATAACCAAACTACACCCATCCTTTTGGGAAGACCTTTCTTAAAAACCGCCCAAACAAAAATAGACGTGTCTAATGGTTCATTAACATTGGAGTTTGATGACCAAAAGGTAGAATTCAACATCTTTGATTCTACGAAAAAACAATTTAAAGACAAATCTCTTTGTTCTCTAAATGTTTTTGAACCACAAACACCGAACGTTTTTGTTGAAAAACAAGCTAAGGAGATCTCACTTTTTAAGGAAAGAATTGAACAAGAAAAATCTATTTCGAAAGAAGAGGCACCTAATTGCGAAAGTAAATCACTTGTGTTTGAGGTGGTAACAAAAAAGAAATCTCGGCTTTACTGGAAAAGGCCGAAGAAAAAGAATGAAACAAGGGATATTCACGATCCCACATAAAAACAATAAAAACTAAAAAATAAACGTCGTGCTGCGACATTAAATCAAGCGCTTCTTGGGAGGCAACCCAAGTTTGTATTTTGAATTCTTTTTAATTATTTTTTGTGTGTGTGAGAAAACCCTTTAAAAAAAAATGGAAACTGGGCTGAAACCTGGCCGGGTATCACAGCCACTCGGTCGGGTTCTTTGCACAAAAAAGGAATACCCGGACATCAAACCCCGCCGGGTAAAGAAGCTGAAAAATTAAAAAAAAAAAAATAGTCTGAGACCCGACCGGGTAATACTCACACCCGACCGGGTATTCAACTGAAAAGCATTCTGCCTACGAAAAACCGAAAACCCATTCGGGTATATACGAAACCCGGCCGGGTATACAGGCATTTTAACCCCAAATCAGCCCCAAACCTCCCATCTCCTTCCCCAAATTTGAGAGCTCAAACAAAAAACCTCCATTGTTGAGCAAACAAGCTTCGAACCCGCCCTTTTCTTCCATTAAAAACCCAAATTAACACCATAATCTTCTTCCCCGCATCATCCTCTCCAGTTCTATACCAACAAAACCCACCAAATTACCCAAAATCCGAATTCCCTAACTACACCTACACCAAGTCAGAATTTTGCTCAACCAACAAAGAAAGAAATGGCACCACAAAAAGGGTTCATCTTCTATGACGTCTTGAAGATGAGCACTAGGGACAGTGCTTTGGCTAGCATGGGGGGAGAGTTTTATGGACTACTCGCATTCATACTCTTTATTCTTGTAAAAAAAATGTTCAAAAAAAAAAAAAGAATAAAAAGCTTGTTAAGTTGAAAACCTGAAAAGGCAACTTAAGCAAAAATAAAGCAAAAATAAGAGTGAGTTGTGAGGATTGAAACAGAAAAATGTGGGAAGCTGGGATGAAAACCCGAAAGGGCACCTAGGCAAAATGAGAGAATGAGAGAAAGTTTTTTTTTTTTTTTTTTTTTTTTTTTTTTTTTATTTCTGCAGGATCCTAAGGGAAACGAAAAAAAAAATTGAGATTGATAAGAAATATGGAGTTGAAGACCCCTCTTTACTCTTATATTTTTGGGGATATTTTTTTGGTTTACTCGAGACGAGTAAAGGTTCAAGTGTGGGGGTGTTTGATATGCACTAATTAGTAGTGCATAAGTGTATGCTTTTATGTTTGATTTGTGTGTATTGTTTATCGTTTTATTTAGTTTGTAAACATTTATGTGATTTTAGTTGTAATTGTATTTTAATCTTCATTTGTAAGTTGGAAAGTAGAGTTAGTATTTATGGTGTTGGAAAGGAAGAGTTTGAAGTGAAGAAAAAGGTGATAAGTGTGCCCAGGAGCACAAACCCGGTCGGGTTAGACCATGCACCCGGTCGGGTCTGATGTAAAATCCGAAACTGCCTGGAAAATCATCAGACCCGGTCGGGTCCCCTACTTGACCCGGTCGGGTCAGACTTGACCCGAGACACCAGGACGTGCCGAAGATCGCCAGAACGTGGAGGATATCTGATTTTGACCGGACCCGGTCGGGTAAGCACCTAACCCGGTCGGGTACCCGGCCCAAGGTGTTGAAAAACACCTATAAATAACCCCATTTTCCTTCACAAAGAATCATCCCTTCTTCCATACTCTTAAGCTCAGTTTAGAATAGTATTTCTTTTATATTTTATAGCATGTTTAGTCTCCAAATGAGGAGCTAAACTTCCATTTCTTGGTGTTGCTCTTGAAGCTTGTTGATTATTAAAGTTGTGAGTTATTTTCTTAACTTCTTCCCTTGAATATTAATTATTCTCTTAATCTATCTCTATATTAATGTTGAGGAGTGTTGCTAAGATGACAATTAGTTAACATCTCGACATTAGTTATAGTAGTATTTATTTTCTTCCTCTATATATTAATGTTGGGGAGTGTTGCTAAGATGACAATTAGATAACATCTTGACATTAGTTATAGTAGGATTATTCATATTTAATCTTCTTCCTTGAATATTAATTCTTCCCTTAACCTATCTCTATATTAATGTTGGGGAGTGTTGCTAAGATGACAATTAGTTAACATCTCGACATTAATTACTACTAGAAACGATCAACGAACCGATGGTTAATCGTTGATGGTTTCACAAGTAAGTAACTTCGGTTTATTAATGCACGGTCGTGGTTAATAAACTTAAGAGGGATTAATTTTGTTGGTTAAACCGAAACCGTTGTGTTGAGGTTATCAATCTCAATTGATTTCATCAAGGAGTTAAGAGATTAAATGCTACTATTAAGTCGGTATATGGCGGTGTTCTATACATGACTAATAGTAAGGGTTATTAATGAACGGTCGTTGTTAATAACTACCCTCGATGAATTGGATATACTTCTCGATTGAGTATTCGAGAGGGGATTAGTTATAGATATAACAATGATCGACTAAAATATATCAACAAGTGGAAAGTAGCAACGCCAAGTCCTTTTTATCTTTAAATTAAGTTGTTCATCTTTATGTTTAATTAAGTTAAATCATTCAATCCCAAAACCCCCCTTTTTATTTACTAGTTTTATAAAAAGAGAATTATTCCTTTCCCTGTGGATACGAACTCTACTACGCTATACTACGTATAAGTGTTAGTATTGAATTTATTTTGAGTGCACTCGCGACAAAGTGCACGTCAGTTGGACTCTAGGAGTTGTCGTGGCTTATAGCCACGGGGTTGGGAATGGTGATTTCCAAATGAAAACGGGCCCACGGGCCGACTACTTGACTTTTATATAAAGTAAGTATATATTTAAACGGGGTAACTTAGGGTTACAACCATGATGTACTATCACCCTATTTGAGGGTCTTGTGTTTGAAATACTTGTTGTATATCTATTAGATGCCTGCCACACCAGTACTTTATAGCCGTATAGAGTACTGACCCCTTCGGGGGCGTCCCACCACCATTTCAGGTTGAGGCTAGAGCTTGCTTCCTGTGCTCGTTGCCCGAGTGATTTCCCCGGAGAGAAGACTTGGTTCGTGCTTCCTCCATTCTGTTTTAGAACATTAATAAACATGCTCATGGATATTTTACTTTAGAGCCTGCGTGCTCATGTTTGCCCTGTGTGGCCCTTTTGTTTTAAACAATGTTTTCCGCTGCGTATTGAATTGCTTATTATGTATGTTTATGGATGACTTATGTGTGAATGATATTCATGACGCCTTGTATAATATGAATGTGTTGGACTGCGGTTGACTATTCGTATTGTACGGCGGGTTGTTGACGTGTCCGGAGAGGTCCGGGGCGTGACAGGTTAACAAAGAAGATCAGGCTATCAGTTATGTTGTTGTTTTAGTACATTGGTACTTCAAAGGATTGTTAAACGTTTTAAAATCCTGATCAGGTGTAATGGTTTTTAAATATGTTTTATTTTGGATACCTTTCATTTTCGTTATGAAGTTTGCTTATGTATATAAGAAATAAAGTCTCATAGTGAGGCTTTGTATCTATATAAGAAATAAAGTCTCTTTTATGTTTGAGTATCGTAATGGCCGTTTTGGGGACGGTCGTTACAATTTAGTATCAGAGCCCAGGTCCTTCCGTAACTCCATCTATTGCCACGCACCGCTCGACATCTCTCAAGTAAGTGAGTAGTTAAAGGCATATAAGAGTAACTACTTTTTCATATAAGTGAACTCGGTACAAATGTTGGGTATATATGTATGAGTCATGTGTATTCACTACACTATGAAGATGTTTATTGAAGTACTGTAAAGCATATGGGTAGGCTGGACTTCATATTTATTTCATAAGTGGAAGAAAAAGAATTGTTTGTAAGGGCATAATGATGGCAGTGATAGCTCGAATCTGCAGTTGGTTCCTTTCAATCGGGAAGTTAGTTAAATAATTTTTTAAAAATTACATGATTTTTAGGCCTAAAAAATGCAGTTTTTTTCAATAAATTATTTAACTAATTTCTTGATTTAATTTTAATCTGAAATTTGGTGAACATAACCTACACTTTAGGAAGAACACGATCACCAAATTTTATCAAAAAATTCGACTCGGAAGCACCTCAAATTTCATAAAAATGTGTCATTCCTGTCACGATGTCCTGACCGGAACCCCCGTGCGGACAACACCATCAAAGAGTCTTCCCAGTGAAATTGTTTGGTGAATTTTTTTGAGCATGTTTCTCATTAAATCTACTTTATTCATACCAAATTTCAGCTCAAAATTCAACCGGGAAGATAGTTTAAAAAATTCTTGAAACATACTGTGTTTTATATACGTACAAAATGTGCTGTAAGAGAAGAGCCGCCACTTGGAGTGGCGGCTTTTGTACTATAAGAGAAGAGCCGCCACTGCTTTCCCTAACCACGATTAACTCAACAGTATTTTGGAATTTTTTTTTACCCAACAGTATTTTGAGAATTATTTATTTAATTACTATTCTTTCCGGAAAAACTCTAAGGTAAATGATATCAATCCTGTAAAATTCAATTATGCTGCAACTTGGGACGAAATCTTGTCCTAAGGTAAATGACATCAATCGTATAAAAATTCAATTATAGCTATTCCATTACAAGGGAGTGTTTTTAAAACTTGGGACGCATTATATTGGAGCTGTGACTAACATAGTCGTCGCCTGTTACGTTCTTACTTAATTACCCAGCTGGTGGTGGAGCCGGCGTGTATGGCGTCAACGCCGGAGCTGCTTCTTTTGGCGGTGGTTCTTTGGTTTGTAGCCACCGATCATCACGTCTCATCACGTGAGCCGCGCAATGATCAGGAAGTAATGGAGGACCTGATGGCACATCTCCAGTTTCCGAACAATATAACGCCGCAGAGCTGGAATAAAAACAATGACAAATGCGAGTGGGAGAATGTGGAATGCGATGACAGTACAAGCCGGGTTTCGGGGATCCATATCGGAAACCTGAGCCTCGGCGGGACTCTGCCGGACACTCTCGGAAACCTCACTTACCTGAAGACGCTCGAAGTGATGGACAACCACATCGGCGGGGCACTCCCCGATTTCGGCGGCCAGTTGACCATTCTCGAGACGCTCAACCTGTCCAACAACAATTTCACCGCAATCCCGCCGGAATTCTTTTCCGGCATGGCTTCCTTGGTCACTGTTTCTTTAGACAACAACCCTTTAGCTCCCTGGAATTTATCTTCCGCCTCTCTGACCGATTCTGGAAATCTGGTGACTTTCTCCGCCGCCAATTGCAGTCTTTCCGGGACCATACCCGGCATTTTCAGCGGCGAGACGTTCACGAACCTACAGAACCTCAACTTGTCGCTCAATAATTTGACCGGCGAACTCCCCCGCCGCTTCTCCTCACTCACTTCTCTTGTGACCCTGCAGCTGAATGACCAAACCGGGTACGGATTGGGTGGCACCTTGGATTTTCTGCAGGGCATGACGGAGCTGACCCAGGTCTGGTTGCAGAACAACACATTTTCCGGCCAGATTCCGGACGGCCTTTCGTCCTTGGAGGATTTCCGCGCGAATATGAACCTTCTCACCGGCCCGGTCCCGGTTTCGATGGCAAAAGATCCACTCCGGGTGGTGAATCTGGCCAACAATCTCTTGCAAGGTCCGCCACCGATGTTCGGGGATCAAGTGCTGGTGGATTCTGGGATGTACACTAAGGGGAATAACAGCTTCTGTTCGACTAATCCCGGCGACCGGTGTGGCCCTCAGGTCGACATTTTGCTGGACATAGCCAGCCATTTCAGGTACCCTGTTGTGCTTGCAAGTTCCTGGAAGGGGAACAATTCTTGCAGCCTCAACCCGAAATGGGCCGGGGTAACCTGCGATGGAGGGGGGAACATTACGGCTCTCAACTTTACACACTTTTCGCTCTCAGGGACAATCTCGCCGGCGATTTCATCCCTCACAGAACTGCGTAATTTGAGTCTGGCGAATAACAACCTGACTGGACCTATTCCTGAAGAGCTTTCAGGCTTGAAACATCTTCAGATGCTGGATGTTTCTTATAATAATGGCCTTTGTGGTAGTGTCCCTAACTCACTTGCCAATGTCACAGTTTCCATAGGAAATGCCAATATAGCACAAGATTGTCCTCGTTCTCCTCCTGCTTCTACTCTCCACCGTAATTCCTCCTACTCTCAACCATAATGATCTGTAACTTCATCTGAAATTCAGACGTTTTTGTATTTCCATTTGAACCATATCCAGAACCATATCCAGGTCATGCCGTGCAATCCCCGGATTTATGTTACATTTTATACTATAGACTACTTGTGTATCACTCTCTTTGAACACATTAATTAGTTAATTACACATCAATGAATGCTGAATATATTTTGGATTTTGGATTTATTGCCTGATCTTTTTGTCGCTTAGCATGGAGGTATCCATTCTCCCAGTTACATTGAACAAGCACAATATGTGACAGTCCACGTTGTGTGGCAGTGGGGTGGGGCAAGTGAATTATGTTTGCAAATAAAGAAATTGCTACAGTACTAAAACATAGAGAAGTTTCTTAATTACTTGGTACTCCGTATAAGTTTTTACTACATCCGGTTACGGATCCGGAGCCTCTACCTTACTTTAGAGTAAGGTAGAGTGTCTTGCTTCCTTCCGATCGTCCGATTGACAATTCAACGGTCGGAGATCTTGGGTTCCATTTTTTTGCCAATCTCGAGGCCGTGTTGACCGCTCTCCTTCCGTCCGATGCGCAAGGCACCCTCCTAGTTGGGTAGAGGATCCCAATCCATCCGGTTACAGTCTTACAGATTACCTACCACTCTGCGACTCCCAAAGACGAGATCATAAGTTCGAAACTCATCCCAGTTTAAGAATGTTGGCATTAACATTGAGCAGATACTATATAAGTTATAAAGAATTGTCCAAAAAAAGATTACCTACATTCCCCCTCTATTTTCCTTTGATTATCTCGGATTTTTTTTAGTTATCAACAATGTTTTTTTGTGTTTTCAGAAAATTTCGATATTAGTTTTCACTACACTTTATTCAAATATGAAAAGTTTTTTTTTTCCTAGAATATTTTTCAACTAAAATTTATGGACTAATTGCGAGTAAAGTTACTTTATGCATGAGTTCATGATAACTATAGTTTAAAATTAAACACAACAATAGTCATTAAAAGTGTCTTTGGGAGTTGGTTTTTGAGGGGAGAGAGAGACATGTGAGGATTGATAACTCTTATATTTGTGTTTGAGAGTTTACAAAATGTGGAGAAATGATTTTGACAGGTTTTTGTGACCCTCCCCATCCAGTGCTTAATTTTTAAGTTCTTCCATTTTTTTGATGAATAAGGATGATTTTCTTGCACTATTTTGGTCCTACTATTTTCAATTCCGAACCATACCAGATCAGACCAAACTAGTTCAGACTTCAGACTAGTTTAGACCAGACCAGTTCAGACCAGATCAGACCAGACCTGATCAAACTTGGATAAATATAAAATACAAAGAGACCAAACATTTACAAGACTAGACCAGTTCAGACCAGACTAAACATACTTGGATAGTTATAAAATACAAAGAAACTAGACATTTACCAGACCAGTTCAGACCAGACGAACAGATCAGACCAGACTATCAAATTTTAGTCCAAGTAAAAACATCCTAACTAACGACATAAGTGTTAAATACTTAAATGACTACATTAACTTGTACTTAAGGGAGCAAAGAGTACATTATATTGAATCTAATATTCACAAGGACATAAACTCGGCCTTTCAACGTTAATTGAGTACATCTGCTAGATTAAGACGTTATTTATATGTCTAAGTTGGCCAATGAAATACTGAATTTTGCCGCCGCTTTTCCGCCGTGAAATGAGTGCAATCATGAACACGAGAAATTGAACATTAACATTTCTTGATGGTGCGGCGGACAAATTTGAAGTTGTCCTCAGTGAAGAATTAATTGAGCGCGTGATCTATTTAACAAAGTTGGAATTAGGGGGGAGGCAGGAAAAGATGCATTATATTTGTGATATCGTCGAGATTCTGTGGTTCGGAATCAAGGAGTCTTGGCCGATTTACAAATCAAGATGCTTGGAGAAGTTGAGGATCAAGAAGGGGACTCAAAGTTGTTGTTGGACAAGGTGGATGTGGTGTGAGTTACACTCCACCGTTTGCCACAGATGTGTGCCAAATGGTTTGTCCTACATGATAATTAAAATTTTGAGTACTTCTCTATCGACACTCATGCCTATTTTGAAATGCAAGTCCTTTGTGCCAACTATATATTCACATCAAAACACACTTTTTTTTGTAGTGCTTGGCTCTAGATGCTACACAACATTTAGGAAGGGGGGACATTACATAGTCTTAGACTCCCTATCCTCTAAATTTATTCCTCACTGTTACCCCCTCCATATCTTTTCACCTTATCTCTCTCTTACACATATAAAATCATACCCCACCTTTTAATTTTTCCACCCTGTCTCCCTCTAGAATTTTGCTCCTCTCCATTAAGTGGAACTCTCCCATATGAGAGAGATAGAGAGAGGTGGGGAAATGGTGGGGTAGGAAAAAAAGATTATGTTTAATTATTTTCTTAAGGAGAGAGATAAAGTGAAAAAGAAATGGAAAGAGTTAATGGAGAGAAAGAAATGGAGAGGACTATGACTCCTCCCTCTAATCTCTGTTCTCTGTCACTTAAAACGTTCATTAAATGATACTCTGTATGAGGAACTGTGTCCTCCATTCCATTTTGGAAACGTTCATCAACCGTAAGTCACGACATATCTAGGTTGATGATAAAGAAAAATCATAGGAACAAATGAAGTGGTACAAAATAATATGACTAAATTAGTTATGACTAAGCAAAAAGTTAAGACAAAAATGGTTATGAAACAGTTGCCTTTTTCATTATTGCACTACACAAAAATAATGACATTGTCAAATATATATACCGACAATACCGTAACAAATTTGACACAAAATAGTCACGGAAAACTAATTTTAGTCTATGGAGAATAGATTGTCACAAATATTTCCTAGACTAAGAAGCTGTTCTCTTCACCTGATCTGAATGTTTCTGATCTGAATTTTTTAAGTTCTGATCTGAATTTTTCTGATCTGATCTGATCTGTTCTGAATCTTTCTGATCTGGTCTGATCTGATCTGATCTGAATGTTCCTGATCTGATCTGAATGTTCCTGATCTGATCTGAATGTTCCTGATCTGATCTGAATGTTCCTGATCTGATCTGAATCCTTCTGATATGATTTGATTTAAATATTTCTAAAATTATAATTATAATTATAATTTTAATTATTATAATTAGAAATGTAATTACACATATATAATTTAAATGTAATTATAATCATAATTATAAAAAAATTATAATTATAATTATAATAATAATTATAATAGGTATAATTATTATTATATGTATTACACTAGTTATAATAATCATAGTAATCATAGTAATAATGATGATGATGATAATAATAATAATAGTAATAATAATAATAATAATAGTAATAATAATAGTAATAATAATAGTAATAATAACATTAATAATAATAGTAATAATAATAGTAATAATAATAGTAATAATAATAATAATAATAATAATAATTACAATAATAATAATAATAATAAATTAATAATAATAATAATAATTAATATTATTATAATTATTATTATAATAAAAGAGATAAATCATGTCTGAACTTTTTTGATCTGATTTGAATATTCCTGATCTGATCTGAATGTTCCTGATCTGATATGAATGTTTCTGATCTGATCTGAATGTTTCTGATCTGATCTGAATTATTCTGATATGATCTGAATGATTCTGATCTGATCTGAATGATTCTGATCAAATCTGAATCTTTTTGATCTGATCTGATCTGAATTTTTGTGATCTGATCTGATCTGAATAAAATACTCCCTCCGTCCCTAATAACTTTGCCAAGTTTGACCGGCACGGGAATTAATAAAGTAAAAACTGTGTAGTTGAGGTTTGTGCAGAGGAGAGAGAATTAACTGGAACCACAAATTCTTTACTTAAATGGGAAAGTGGCAAAGTTATTGGGACATCCAAAAATGGAAAGTTGGCAAAGTTATAAGGGACGGAGGGAGTAAGTAATAAGATTAAGACGAACAGAACAACGGTTGTCAAGGATATTTCGGTGACCAAGCCCGGACAAATCAATTGAAGTTGACAGTCAAGTATAGGAGAGGCGCCATCGGAAAGTCTTATTCCTTCAAATGCTTCATGTCTACTACTTCTCCATGTTTTTTTCATCTTTTATTTTTTTCTTCGGGGATGGGGTCTCGGGCTAGACTCTAGAGTAATTAGGGCTGAAACTCACTCTATTGAGTGTCGAACCCGAGATCTCCCGTAAAGGAGAGTGAGTCGACGACTAGGTGGGGCTGGACGTTTCCTCATATATTTCTCCATTTTTGGAATCTCTCTCTTATACATATACTCTTACACATAACAAATTATACCCACTTTTCATTTTTTCTAGCCCCACCCCCCCTCCAATTATTCTCTGTCCTACTGAAACGTGTAGTGAGCGAAGAGGAGCTGCCTCCGCCATTGTTTATGATTTTGATTTCTTCCAACCACGAAAGTTCCTGAGTGTAGGTGGCGGCATAGGTTGAAGATAAAGAATAAGCTGTAAAAACTAATGATGCGTTACAAAATAATATCATTACATGTTTAATTCGTCAAAGTTGTTAAACATGATTAAAGAAATGTAAACACATATTAATTTGATACGGTAAAGTATAACTTTTGTATCCTAATTCAATAGCAACTGAGTGTTTCTCGGAGAAATTGACATCCCATTGAAAAGTGGGAATAATTATATTCTAGATCTTGGTATAAGTTTTTCATCTATTTCAATAATGTCTTCGTTATCATTTATCAATTACTTTGATATCTCAAAAAAATGATATTTTCCTAAAACATTACTAATAGAAAATTTGAGACTGACGGCAGGGACGACGAATGCAGAGGTAGCAGATAGATCCATGGGAGACGGACGAAAGAGATGTAGTAGGGATTTATGACCATTTTGTTTCTAATATCTAGATTCTAGATTATCTCTTTTTTGTCTAGATTTAAATGTGGCTATAGATTTGTATATCCTAGTATTAATATTTACTACCTCCGTTCTCTTTTAGTTGCAACATTGGACTATTTGCACTATTCACGTATTCTACTTTGACTATATTTTATTTATTAATGTATTATAAATTAAAATTTTTAAAAAATGTTATTAAATTCTTCTCATTCTAAATTTTCAAAATATGAATTTTTTAAATTTTTTAAATTATAAGGAATGAAAGATATTAACGGTCAAACTTGTGCATTGGCAAACGTGAAAAGTGGACTGTTGCAACTAAAAAAGAACGTAGGAAGTACGTGATTCTTTCACTAGTCAAGCATACATTCCACACGCACCGCACATATCGAGCTACACAAATCCTACCGCTCCTTGTCTTTTTCGTCTTCAAATGATGATGAGCTTCAAACACATACTACACAGTATTTAAAAGTGTTTGCAATTGCTTCAACTTTAAAAAAGTGATTTTTAAAGTGATTTTGGGAAAAGTGATTAATAATAAAAGTTGGTAGTGTTTGAGAAAAAAGTGATTCTGAAAAAGTAAAAGTTGGTAGTGTTTGGTAAAATAAGTACTTTTTGTGTAACAGAAAAAGTGAGAAGCAGTTTAAAGCACCATTCTACCTACTTCCAGCTTTTAGCTTTTAAGTGATTAATTTAAGCAGAAGCTGTCATTTAAAAACACTCTTTTCAGCTTTTTTTTAAGCCAAAAGCTAAAAAGCGTTTTTTTTAAGCAATCCCAAACACTCCTTTAATACTCCTCCATTTCATTTAAAGATTCTCGTCCACAGTTCTGCGGTCAACGTGCAGTGTTTTTAATTTTTTGCCCCGTACTTTATACTCCGCATATCCAACTTTTATAAAATTTAATTTTTTTTATCAGGTTTTATAGAACTTTTAATGTATTTTCTGAATATGTAAATTTTATTTACTAAAAATAATATTACTAATAACATGAATCATTAATCAAGTTATCAAACACCATAAATCTTACTCCGTAGTATTCTTTTTAAATATCGACAGAATGAGTAAAGAAACATAGAATACAATTTTAATATGGATTAATCAAAATTCCGTGGACTATGTTTGGGCAAGATTCTTTCTAGGACTAGCCAGAATCAAGCTAAGCCCAAATGACAGAACTTGACCATAATAAAGTGGACTGACATTATTTAAAGATGTGGGGGCCACACGGTGCCAGCTCTTTCATAATTTCAACACCTCATCTCTTTTTTTACTTATTCACGGTGACCAGTGACTCTCCCTGTCAATGCTAACTGCTCCTCGCCATTTCAACATACGGAGTTGTAGTAAACAAAACCCCACGCCACTCACTTTTTTTTCTTTTTGACACTCAAATTTTCTTCACTTATTCCTCCATCCCCGCCGTTCAATCAGCTCACTCTAAATTCTGTATAGTCTTCCTCTCTTTAGTCAATCAAATAATAATTAGCTGGTATAGGGAGCTCATGATACCGATACGATGTAATTATGGCTGTATAATACATTTGATGAGTAGAAACTGTCCTGTTCAGGAAAGTTGTCTTCGTTCTTCGTTCTGATTGATTCTGGAGATCGGAATGAAGAAACTCTATCCGGGTTTCCCCGGTATAGCTTCAAGATCGGAGCTTTTTCTGGGTATTCTTTTTCTTGCGGCTTTTGCTGCTACTCCAGCTCTGTCCCAGGCCCCGGATGATGCAGCTGTAATGCTTGAGCTGAGGAAGGGTATCGAGATTCCGAAGGCGGCGGGTCTCCGGTGGGAGGATAATGTCCCGTGCAATTGGGCGCAGGTGGAGTGTGAAAATGGTCGGGTCACGAAGATCCAAATTGGGAAAAAGGGTATAACCGGGTCTCTCCCGGCCAATCTCGGAAACCTCACCTCCTTGACGGTTTTCGAAGTGATGGAGAACGGCCTCGTCGGAGATGTGCCCAATCTCGCCGGGCTGTCCTCGCTTCAGAGGCTCCTCCTCAACGGAAATGGGTTCACTTCGATTTCCCCCGATTTATTCGCCGGTATGAATTCCTTGGAAACTGTTACTCTAGACAATAATCCTTTCGCCACATGGCAGTTCCCGGAGAGCTTGAAGGATGCTTCAGCTCTCAGGTTTTTCTCCGCTATTAATTGCTCCATTTCCGGTCCTCTCCCCGAGATTTTCTCTAGCTTCCCCAGCCTCACAGAACTGCGTTTATCCTTCAATAGTATATCCGGGCAACTGCCTTCCAGCTTCTCCGGCTCACCCCTGCAAACCATGTGGCTGAATGGGCAAAGCGGTGATTCTAGACTTAACGGGCCCCTAGATGTTCTGCAAAACATGACAGACCTTGTCCAAGTTTGGTTACATGGGAACTCTTTTACCGGCTCAATCCCGGACTTATCCGCACTCGATTCTTTGAAAGAGTTTAGTGTGAGAGACAATCATCTCTCCGGCCTAATCCCGGATTCGTTGACTATGATAGGTTCGCTCCAAGTTGTGAATTTGACTAATAATATGTTCCAAGGCCCGACTCCCAAATTCGCAAAGACAGTTCAGGTTGATGCAGCACCTGACACTAATAGTTTCTGTTCAGACCAGCCTGGTCAACAATGTGATTCTAAGGTCAACGTATTGTTAGCCATAGCCAAGGATTTCGGATACCCATCCCAGTTCGCACAGGACTGGAGGGGTGATCGTCCTTGTATCCCCCCTTGGAGGGGCATAAGCTGCGATAATGACCAAATTTCGGTTGTGAATTTTCAAAAAATGGGACTCACAGGGACGATTTCCTCCAGCTTTGCAAATATCACAACACTGCACACGTTGATTCTGTCCAGTAATAATCTCACTGGAACCATACCAGAGCAGCTCACAAGTTTGACTGAACTTAAGTTACTAGACGTTTCGAATAATAATCTTCACGGTAAGGTGCCTAAGTTTAACGATAGTGTGAAAGTGACAACCGATGGAAATGCCAATATTGGGAAAGATGCCCCTCCTCCTCCTCCTTCTCCTTCAACAACCCCACGTTCTCCTAGTGGTAGGCCTCCTTCTCGACCAAGTACAACACCTAGTTCTGCCCCCACCACTGATGTTGGTGGTGAAAAGAAATCATCCACAGGCGTGGTTGTTGGTGGAGCAGTTGGTGCTGTCATTGCTATAGCCGCTTTGGCTGGGATAATTTTCTATTGCTTCTGCCAAACAAAGAAGAAGCGGTCTGGGAAAGTGCAGAGCCCACACACAATGGTCATCCATCCTCGCCATTCTGGAGATGCTGATGCGGTTAAAGTTACAATTGCGGATTCGGGCTTTAATGGAGGAGGTGCAAGTGAGTCTTTCAGCTATGGAAGTAGTGCACCTAGTGGAGATGCACAAATCATTGAGTCAGGCAACCTGACGATCTCTATCCAAGTTCTAAAGAATGTTACTAAAAATTTCGATGAAAGTAATATTCTTGGGAGGGGCGGTTTCGGAACGGTTTATGGGGGTGAGTTGCACGATGGGACGAAAATCGCTGTCAAGAGGATGGCATTGGGTGCAGTAGGGGATACAGGTTTGGGTGAGTTTAAATCCGAGATTTCAGTGCTTACCAAAGTTCGACATAGGCATTTGGTTGCATTGCTTGGGTATTGTTTGGATGGGAATGAGAAGCTTCTAGTTTATGAGTACATGCCTCAGGGGACACTTAGTCGGTTTCTGTTTGATTGGAAGGAAGAAGGCTTGAAGCCGCTCGAGTGGATGAAGAGGATAACAATTGCTTTGGATGTGGCTAGGGGGGTTGAGTACTTGCATGGTTTGGCACAACAAAGTTTCATTCACAGAGATCTTAAGCCATCAAATATTCTTCTAGGGGATGATATGCGGGCTAAAGTTGCTGATTTTGGGCTTGTTCGCCTTGCGGATGGGAACGCTTCAATCGTCACTAGATTAGCCGGAACGTTCGGTTACCTTGCACCGGAATATGCAGGTATGTCTTTCTGTCGGTTCATTTGGTAACTTTTGTGCGTTTCTGTTTTATACATGACGTGTCTCTTTTGTATGCATATACTTCTGAAGTTAAATTAAGTTTGGTATGTGTGTTTCACACATATTTTGTGATAATACTAGGTATTTATTTTTAATATGAACTATTTGGAAACAAGAATTCTTGTTTCATTACAAACACAGTAAAAATCGTAAACACTTTTTGAAAACAAGAAATTCAAGTCTTTGAAAACTTTCAGAGCTTCTCTTTTGTTATGAGAAACTGAAATCCAGAAAGGCAGAAACTACTATCATCAAGAGTTTCCTGTTTCTTCATTTCCCCACTCTTCTGTGTGCAACTGAAACAGAAACGTTTACCAATGGAAACTTATAGACTGTGCTATGCTTTTGAGTTTACCTATGTTTGCACAGGTATTGGGATCAGAAATATTTACTCCAAAAATACCCCTGCTACCTTCAAACAATAGCCTAGTTTGGCTGGCGTATTTTGGCTGGGTCAATTTATCTGTGTGTGTCAGTTTTAGACCAGACAATCCCTATAATTGCATCTCAGCCATCTCTTTACATAAATCATTTCTATGCAAATTGATACTTTGATATTCACTTAACTTTCCAACCATCAAAGTGTAAGAATAAATTAGTAGCACCAATCAAAGTTTCCCAAGTAATTAAGTAACACCAATTTGTTTGTATCAGGGATTGGGGACAAAAAAGGAGGATAGATATTTGTTTTACGAATTTTTCTCTATTTGTTAGTCTTGGCTAAAAATGCTAAATGCATGTAAAATTAAATAATACATTGTATTATTATCTGAATTCTTCATCGTTCAATTTCTCTTTATTCACCTAAATGTAATAAATTTAAAACAAATATCAATCCTCAAAATCCCCACCCATTCTTTCAAAATCCCCACCCCTTCATTCAAAATCCCCTAACCAAACTAGCCCTATGTCATGACGTTTTCTTCTTTTCCTAAAAACCCGAGGGAACAAGTCCATGACACTTAGCTGACTAAGCCCAAACTTCTTACATATGATTGGCATAAACAAAAATTCTCATTCATTTCAATTTCTCAAGAACAATAAATGACTATGGTTGTTTTGATCTGATTGGGAATGATGCAGTTACTGGGAGAGTGACAACCAAGATTGATGTGTTCAGTTTTGGAGTCATTCTAATGGAGCTAATTACGGGAAGGAAAGCGCTGGACGAATCTCAGCCGGAAGAGAGTGTGCATCTCGTCCCGTGGTTCCGCAGGATGCAGCAGGACAAGGAGCAATTCAAGAGCGCGATCGACTCCACAATTAACCTGAGCGAAGAAGTGCTGATCAGTTTAAACACTGTATCTGAGTTAGCGGGTCATTGCTGCGCACGGGACCCGCACCAAAGGCCCGACATGAGCCATGTGGTCAACGTGCTCTCATCCCTAGCCGAGCTGTGGAAGCCCGCCGAACCGAGTGTGGAGGATGATTTTTACGGAATCGACGTTTATGACCTCAGCCTGCCGCAGGCTATTAAGAAGTGGCAGGCTCTCGAGGGGATGAGTGGGATTGACACGCCTTCTTATCTTGGTAGTGCGGACAATACACAGTCTAGTATACCCACACGCCCGAATGGGTTTGCTGATTCGTTTACTTCAGTAGATGGACGGTAATGTGCATTCAGCTCTCCGTTCTGTTCGTTCATATGTTCGTCCATATCCTCTGTATCACCACAGTTTCCTTCTCCATTGAATCTCAAATGTTTATGATGTTGGATTTTGTACAAGAAAGGTAATATCGTACAATGCATGCTGCACTGTGTTTTTTTAATGTTATAAAGAAGTCATGAACTAGAAGTGGATATAGTCTTGTTTATTAAACTGATGATGTTTTGGTATCTCCATTCCTCCATTATTGCATCTGGGCATGGTTGTCTAACCTGGGGTGTTTGACTGGTTATTGGTCAGAATCAGTACGTAGAACCAGCTGGTTCTTCCATAATAGGATCAGATCTTACCAGTTCGGGATTAATAACTTTTTTGTTATTTGGTAAATATGCTAAAAACCAGAAACAGCCCGGAATTAATGCGGAACCAGTTTACTTGAAGAGGGTTCCGGACTCCGGAGTCCAGACTAGTCATGGACCCGGTCCGACCGGCCCGGGAAACCGGTTCCGGGCCTAGGGGCCCGGCCCGAGGGGGTAGGGGGGGGGGGGGGGGCGGGGGGGGGGGGGGGTTCCGGTTTGGGCCTCTCTTTTGCTTTTTTTTTTTTTTTTTTTTTTTTTTTTGGGTTTGGTCTGGGTTTAGGTGGGCTGGGCTGGGTAGTTCCGAGGGGTTTGGGGATGGGGGGTAGGGGTTGAAATAAATAAGAAAACAAAAAAAAATAACCGGAACCGGTAGCCTCCTGGGCCGGTCCTGGGCCTTACCCAAAACCTTCCAGGCCCGAATCGGAACCAGAACCGGACCGGGCCCGGTCCACCAATAGTCCGGACTTTTTCACAAGTAATAAAATTAACCCTCTCTCTGTAAAGTATAAATTAGTATTACTACTTAAAAATATAAATATTTAGGAATTAAACTGAAAGTTTTTAATTTATTGATTAAGTGATTAAGTGAGTGTTCATTTATTTGCAAATATTAATTTTATAAGATTGATTGAGCTGTCTCAACAATGGAAGCTGGGGTCAGTGGGGGCTGGTAGCCTCCCAATATGCATCTTGCACAAATATAATTTCTCCAAGTTTAACAAAAAAGGTGCACGCATATAATAGGATATTGATATTAATTAGAGCAGATACTATAATAGGTGATAGAGTATTAATTCTAGAGAGAAGTGAGAGCTAGAGAGAGAAAGTGAGTAATTATATTTCTCAACCCCTATAACTAGCCCCAAGGGGTCTATTTATAGGTAAAAATGTGGATTTGGGCTCCTAGCCATGGGCTTAAGAGGCCCATTACAATAATTATGCCTTCTTTGGGCGAAATAGGGCCACTAATGGGCTGAGTACAATACTTAGTAAATAAAACAGGGAGATGCATTCTGTCCGGACGAAGCCGGGCCGATGCGGTGCCTTTTGGCCGATGCGGTCTCATGGCCGATGCGGTCCATGGGCCGATGCGGCCCCCGGTAGTCCATGCGTGCTTCCTGGGTCGATTCGGCTTCCGGACGATGCGGGCCCACTGGCCGAAGGGGGCCATGTGGGTGTTCTTCTGGTCATCGTTGACTTGAGTATGTGGGCCATGGGGTCCAGGCCCATATACTCTATCAATAGGTTTAGAAGGATATGAAAAAAAGGTGCACGCATATAGTTTGTACATCTTTTTATACAATGTATAGTCATCCCCTAATATGTTTGATGATATATACTCCCCCCGTCCCGCAAAATAGTTCTCAGTTTCCTTTTTGGACCGTCCCAAAAAATAGTTCTCATTTCCTTTTTTGGAAAGTTTTTGTGGCTACCGTTTGTTTACCTTTTCTTTTAACTCAACCACTACTATACATTTTCACTTTATTCATACTTTCTTAAACTCCAATCCAAATCAATACGAGAACTATTTTATGGGACGGAGGGATTAATTTTTTATAAACAAATTTAGTCATCCAACTTTAACTTTAACTTATATACTATGCCATCTTTTGACTTCTAAAGAATGTTCATGATGGAAATGATGCTTTCACAAACATTTTTTCTATATGCATGAGATTGAGACAATGTGGTACTGGTGGATCTTTCCAATAAGGAAGTTCTAAAAAATATAGACTTCTTCCAAAAGCTTTCAGTGTTACATTTTATAAGGCTTCCCGAACATTGTATTCAGATATTTAACCTTATCATAAACATCACAAGCACTTAATGGTGGACGATGAATCCAATGTTCTGTTATTCCGTTAAATGCCTTCTTAAGTGCACAATAACGGTGATCACGTGGAAGAAATCTCCGGTGATCCATGTTCACATTTTTTCTACAGTAGGTCAATCAAAGATCAACTGTGTTTTCTTAACATATGGGATAAGGCTTTTCACCTTTCATTGTGTACCCCGAAAGATTGCCACACGCAGGGAAGTCATTAATGCAATACAACATAGCACACAATGTAATGTCAGTTTTTGGTATGCATATCGTATGCTGGGACCCCCTCATTCCACATAAGCTTGAAATCATCAATGAGAGGGACAAAGTAAACGCCAATATCATTAACTGGTTGTTTTGGCCCAACATTGAAATTTATGCGCTTTATAGTTTAAACTAGATATATGGTATTTTTTTGAATTCTGAGAGTATTTTCTATTATTAGTTTACTTTATAAAGTTTAATTTGGTTTTTTAATATGTTCAAATTTTATATATTGATTTTTTTCTGTTTTATGTATATTACGATTTTAAAATATTTACTCTTGCATACAAATTTTAAATTATTATTTTTTTTAAAATTGATTCAAATTTTTTTACTGCTTATACAAATTTCTAATATTCACTTTTTAAAACATTTATTCAACTTCATACATAAATTAAATACGTAATATTATCAACTTTGATAAAAATATCTATCAATTTTTTATTTATCTATTTTATACTTTTTTCTAAGTTCATAAAATGTTTTTCACTTTTAGTTTTTAAAAAGAAATGAATTAATTTTGTATATTTAGTAATTTGAAAATTAAATTTTCATTCATATATTTTATTTTTATTTGTAGAATTTATAAACTTTAGGGAGAACTACCAAATAAGCGCTCGAACTTACATAAAAAGTGCAAATCACCCCTTCTATAGGAGGCTCTGTCCGGACGTCGCCATTTGGGGCGGTTTCTGGTGGAATTTTTTGAGCATCTTCTTCATTAAGTATAGTTTACTCATACCAAATTTCAACTAAAAATTCAACCGAGAAGGCAATCAAATGATTTTCTGAAATATATTGCGCTGTTTAACTGTGCAGTTATCTCGATAATCATGCTTACTCGACGAGTTCGCCTTTCGTTGCCCCTCGTCATAACTATCGTGATGCTGTCGGGATTGTTGATCCTCCTCCAAACGAATAAAGGCCAACGTCTTGTCTTGAACATCTTCGAAAGTTCGACATGGATATTTGGTCAGCTCCCGATACAACTCTGAATTCTCAAGTAGTCCCTTTCGGATCGGAAGGCCTATAGGATCATAACATCGTGGAATCAATACTTTCTCTTTGTTGAAACGGTGGTGATAGTCCCTCAGTTACTCGTCTCATCACTGGACGACTCAGTACAAATCACTAGTTTGCTTTTCTAGTGTCCTACTGCTCGCGAACTGTTGATTAAAGAGGTTTACGAGTCTCTCGAACGAGTTGATTCCTCCATTAGGTAAGTTGGCGAACCATGTCGGTGTTGATCATGTCAAAGTTGCTCCAAAGGCTCTACACATGCAGGCTTCTCGTTGTTCCGGCCTGATCAATACTGCCAACATTCATTCTTTATATTGTGCTACATGGTCCACTGGATTTGAGGTCCCATCGAACATCTTCGTGGATTGTACAACAAACTTACGGGAGATCCCGACATCCGTAATCGGCATAACACGTTTGGGAGGCCACATCAAATGGTGGTGGCCTGACACTCTTTAGATTCCATCGATCTTCTCTTGCATCTATCATAGTTTGGCAAACAACATAGCCATAGGATCTGCGAAATTCATCGGTGTCGTATTCACCGTAGTAATTGTAGGCCCGACAGTGACGAGATAATGATCACTTCTGGTTCTCGTCTATTTTGAATTGAAACGTTCGAGGTGATAGGTACCTGAACCCTTGGACTTGAGTCTTAGGTAATAAACCATCCGGCGCAGGTTGGTTGGGTTTACGGATAGAGGAGAAAGAGTTGGAAGGCTCTAGATTCCCATATGTTCAGGTACTGGTTTAGGGGCCAGATAAAAGCTTCCGATGGTGTGGGCGTTACGGTTGGCATCAATAGGCTCTAAGTGACCGATTGTAGACCTGTCGATTAGGGACTCTGCAGGCTCTAGTTATGTCGTGAGAGGGATGAAGTCGAGTTCTATTCTCATCGCTGCTGTTATCACATCACTGCTTGTGTTGATTATGGGATTTGAGGTTATGGATGCTATTGACTAGACTTGAGAACTCTGCAAATCATTTTCCATTTGGATACACGAAATTTTTTGAGCCATCTCATGCCATATATCCTCCTTGGCGGCCTCCAACTGACTATGAAATTCGGTCATCACTAAATTGCTAGTTCCGGCAATGAATGATCACTTTCTTGCACGATGCCCCACGATGGATACGGTGCGAAATTGTTTAATAAAAAATAAGCTATACTATGATATTATTTGAATGAAATTGGGATCACGCCAAATTTAAGAAGAGATATTACCCAAAATGAGACTAAAAAAGTTTGGAAATTCCAAAATAGGACTTCCATGTTTTTATTCCCAAAATAGGACTAATTACTGTCATGTTTTGGCAGTACCAGACTTCAAACATGACAGTATTTTCCAACTTTGGCAGTAATTAGTCCTATTTTGGGAATAAAAATATGACAGTCCTATTTTGGAATTTTCAAACTTTTTTAATCCCATTTCGGGAACTTTCCCATTTAAGAACTACTTTGGGTAGAACAAGAATGAAATAAATTGAAGAATATCGTAAGTTTGAATACAAAGTAAATCGTAAGCTTTTTGCCTTTTTTTGATCTGGTTTATCGCATCCTCCAAAGGAACGTATCCTATTCTACTTATACGCTGAGAGGGTCCTTTGCTTCCGTGACTCCATTGCGAATTTCGCTCTTTTTCCATCACATGTGGAAGCAGTTGGGCGGCTCTAACTTGTTATTCCGTTAGTGGCACGTTTGCCAACTTTATTGTTACCTTATTCTTGGTTTCATGTAATCATATAATTGTTTCCGGATTTGGTCCATGCCTCCCTTAGTTTATTTAGGGCATATTTGGGATTTGACTTTTGAAGGGAAGAGGAATGTTGACAAGGGTTTATGACCTTACCTTTCATTTTGCGTGTTTAAAAATATGGAGGGGGTGGTTCTGGAGTGTTTTTGTAACCCTCCAATTCTCCAATAAAACTCCAAATGCTTTTGTCAATTACGGTGTAATCTTTATCTTCTAAAATTAAACTAGAATTAGAAGATTTTAAGATATTTTTACATGTAATTAAGCTAAAACATGATGAAAGGAAGAAGAAAGAGCTTGGGAGCATAAAGAAGGACCAATGGAGACAAGAGGAAGCTTCACGGGAGACAAAGAAATGTGATAAATATGATTTGGTATCACACTCGGTCGGGTATATGCAATACCCGATCAAGTATGATTTGACCCGAAGATCATATGAGGTCAAATAAAACAAGAGAACATGGAAAAAATTAGATTTTGTCATTTACCCTGTCGGGTATTTTGACATACCCGGTCGGGTATCCTAAATACCCGATTAGGTATCAGACCCAACCACATCATTTCTCCTATAAAACATCTCTTTCCTTCCCATTTTAGATACCAATTAATCCCCTCTTTTGTATAGATATTATTCTTGTATTTTAGGTAGTCTTTTGAGTTTTGTTTTGCTATATTGAAGCTTGTGATTTGTAAGTTGTGAGTTTTTTTTTTAATCCTCCTCTCTTAAATATTAATTACTTCTATATTCATATTTCATATTGATATTTCAGCATAGCTAAGTGTTCAATTAGTTGATTTTTCATATTAATTATTACTAGAATCGGTCAATGAATACGCTTGTTATTCATTTTGTCATTTCATAATTAGTAAACTTATATTGTTAATGCATGCGTCTCATGGATAATAATGTAAGAGGGAGTAATTATATTGATTAAACCAATAAACCGCTTGTGTTGAGATTGTCAATCTTAATTGTTTTCATCAGAATAAAATGAATAAATTAGATAGAATAGCTGGACTGAGATTCTCATTGTGACAGCCGAAAATATTCACCTCGGGTTACAAGTTATCGTTCTTAATTTATTTATTTCATTATTAAATCAACCGAATGCTACTATTATGATCAACATATGACGCGTGTTCTATATTGATTATTTAATAGTAAGGGCTATTAAGGAACACGTCTCGTTATTAATAGCTATGCTAGATGAATTGGAATTTCTCCACAATTAAGTATTCAAGAGGGATAATTAAAGTAGTAATAATGATCAACGAACACTTCACTAAGGGGAAATTAGCAAAATCAAGGTTGATTACCTTTGATATTTTATTTCACTCATTTTAGTATTTTTAATTTGCTTTCTCAATTATCAAAATATGCAATCCCCCCTTTTCGTTTACTTTTATTTATTACGCTTACACATACGCAAAAAGCTCATTTCCCTGTGAATACGAACTCTACTACGCTATACTATGGTATTAGCCCTTAGTAGTGAATTTAATTTGAGGCACACAACGACTTTAGTGCCGTCATTTTATGACCTTACCTTTCATGTTTGGGTGCTTAAATATATGGAGGGTTTATGTAACCCTCCAAAATCCTCCAAATGTTCAATTTTAATTTTCCACCAAATTGGAAGATTTTGAAGGATAACTAATTAAATGACAGCTTAGCTCAATTTTACATAAATATAAATTCAATTATTTGAATTTATTATATATGTGATGTGCTTTTAATTACAACTTGATCACTCATAAACTTTATCTTTTCATATTTGTTACTCTCGAATAAGAATTTCATCTCCTTTCCCTCCCCTTCACTAGCTTCGAATGACTAACCTTCAAAGCCCCCCCCCCTTTCATGTATTAAGAATACTGTCATGATCGAAAAATAATGCCATTAATTATAATAATTACTGTCATTTTAAATGCACTGTACTGCAATGTTTCGGCAATCACGCATACAAGATGACAGTAAATACTGCAATGTTAGTCCTATTTCGGGGAATAAAAACATAGTAGTCCTATTTTGGAATTCCAAACTCTATTTACTCCTATTTTGGGAAATCTCCCATAAAATAAGTATTGTTGGATTTACTTTTCTCGTGAATTAAAGTTGGTTGAATTTACTGAAGAATATGACTTTAGCTATGTTTTAATATTACATCTGTCCCGAAAAGGTTTGTCATATTGACTTTTCTTGGCCAACGATGATAAACTTTGGAGAATGATATAATTAATTATTACACACTCCATATGTATATAATTTATAAATTCTATACTTTTACAAAAATATTTTGAATAACAAGAAACGTTTTATATAATTTTCATATTCAAAATAATTTAAAAAACAAAAAATATCATTGGTCAAAGTTGAGTATCATTGACAAAAAAAGGTCAATTTGATGAACCTTGTTGAGACGGATGGCATATAACTATTCTGCATTTAATTATAATTTTTAATTTTTCGTATTTCAGCAGATTGGGTAAATTCAACCCTATCTAATGTTACCAAATGATTAAGTTTGTTCAAAAGTGTGAAGTTATTAGAGATAGCAAGAGTCAATAATAAGACAATAAAAAACTTGTCAAGAAAAAAGTGGATCACCAAAATTCAGTGCGAGCATCCAGTTACAAGTTTAAGAAGAGAATTGAAGGGGCAGATCAGAGTACTAAAAAACAAGAAATTGAAGATCTTAAATGCATAAGTTACATTAGAAAGACAACAGTCAACACATATAATACTACGTATGGTATTAAAAGCACCATTACAAATAGGGTAGCTCTTTAATTTATCCCGTCACTTTGATTTAAAACAGATAATAATTAATACTTAGTAATAAGTATGGAAAACAAGACATAGTTCGTATATGAGATGGAATGGGTAAAAATGATGAATAAGTGCGATCAATTCAAGGTAAGAAACCTTTGAAACAAACACCATCATTATTGCATGCTGAGCCCTCCGATCCCTTACATGCATGGCGCCCCTGATCTTCCGTCGGATAAATGGGGATTCCCACATGTATTCACTGTCACATTAGATGGAAATTCAGGGACAGTGCCCGTAAGATTATTATAAGAAACATCCACTTTAGTAAGGTCGGGCAAAGCTGCAAGGGATGGAGGGATAATGCCAGACAGCTGATTATGAGAAAGATCCAGCGTGTCCAAGTATTGGAGGTCAGATAAGTCGGGTATATCCCCGGATAAGTGGTTGTTGCTCAAGTCAAGGGTGTCTAAGTTGGGGAAAGTGTCTTTGTTGAAGTAGTCTAGCATGTGGCCACCAATGTTGCAACAGGCGGCACGGAAATATCGGAGGTTCGAAGAGTTGTTCAGAGCCACCAATGTTATTGAGTTTTTTCCAAAAATATTACTAAAATAAAATTTATTTACACAAATATGACTAAAAGTTACTACAGTGTAATGTCAGAGTAGCACATGTTTAAAAATTGAACATAAGTTACTATGTTGTTCAGAGCCGGAGGGATCTCCCACGGGGCGAGCCGAGCGTTGTGGGACAGTTCAACCTCGCTCAGGTTGGGCTTGGAGTGGAACAGACCGGGCGAGATTGAAGTGAACTGGTTATCGCCAAGTCCGAGATAACTGACCGAGTCGGCAAAGTTGGGAATCTCCCCGGCGAGGTTGTTCGACGACCCATCGAATTCCTCCAACTCGGTCAGGCTTTCTAGATTGGCCGGCAGCGTCCCGCCATCGAGCATTCCCCAAAAGCGGATCATTGTAACCCGGAGAGTCCCACTGTGATCCTTGTTGCAGTCCACACTAGATATCCAGTTGCACGGATAGGTGTCAGTCCAGTTCTCCCCCGAATCAGGCTTGAAGATCACACTCCTCTTCAGCCCCTTCATTATATCGTCGTCAGGGGAGGGCCCGTAGGCCCCTTCCTGCGCCGCCCTAACTGCAGCAATGGCGGCCGTAAGCAAAAGAAGCAATCCCGATGAAGCCGCCATAACTCTATCACCCATATCTTATATTAGCTTCTTCAAGTCTGCTCAGCCCCCTGCTACTAGATCAGGATTTATTTTATTTATAGGAGATAATTAACTAAGTTCTTGTGTTGTAGGATTATTTGAATAAAACTTAGAGATCCATCGATGCCATATATATACACAGAAACTATATTGTACATGTTGATATTGCCAGTGGCGGAGCCAGAAATCTATGGTTGAAGGGGCCGGTCTTTAAAAATTTTACACTGCAGGGGCCAAAGTTTAAAATATCAACATATTTTCTACAGATTAAAAGTATTTATACATAATATATACTTAAGAATTTTTTTCTTGCAGGGGCCATGGCCCCCTCCAGCCCCTCCCTGTCTCCACCCCTGGATATTGCCGTACCGTGCCAATCACACACTATACTAAATAGTGTATATTAGGGCTACCCTTTCCAAAAAACTAAAGACTGAAAAAAGCATATATGCATCGAACATAAAACAAAGTAAAGGTAACACTTAAATAAATAATAAATGTTACTCTGTAGTTTACAAATGTATGACGGTATGTATGGTACGACTATTAGTCATATATTTGTAATAGACATATTAATCTTAATCAGTTTTACCAACCAAACAATGAAATACGGAGTATGATATTTTGTTTATTAAGATAACTAGTATTGTACCCGTGCGATGCACGGTGCGTGAGTTTGTGGATGGGGTATAACCCCCGTTAGACATAAAACTCAATTGGTTATAAAGTTAATATCATATGCTATACTATTAAGAACATAAAGTGTAATATGTAAGTTTGTTGTAATATGTAATGTGATTCTGAGACCTGCACGAATGATTACTTTGGACACAACAACATATAATTGTCCATGACCGAAAACTGGTTTTTTCAATAGGAGGCAGCGTGAGCGAGCGACTGACCTTGACTTTAATTGATGGTCATTGCATAAGAAATCATAATAGAAATTGTCTCCTTTGTCATAAGAAACCATAATAGAAATTGATAGTCGTGATATTATAACTTTCTGACATGCGCTCGTACCATTCTAGTACAGCACCGTACCCGTGCGATGCTATACGGTGTGAGTAAACAAAGAATGATGTGTACATAATTGCTATAACAATATATATATATATATATATATATATATATATATATATATATATATATATTGTTGTTATATTAACGATGACTATAATATATAAGTACTTTATTATTAAGTTGTTATAAAGATAATACTAATTGTGAGTCGCATAAAATACATTAACTGTTAGGTTATGAAAACTTCTTTATACACAAAACTCATGGTCTCATCGTTAGTTGAATAAGAATTTTAAGATACCCATGATTTGTAATCGTAAAGATAACAATATACGGAGTATAATTCTTCATCATTGAAAATAGTTTTTTTTTTTAATTAGATTGGCTGCTTTTGACTTTTATTTATGTTCATTGCATAAAAATCATTACATTCACTCTAAATTCTAAAAGTAACATTGATGTCCTAAAACGTAAAAAAAAATTAAGTGAAATTGAAAAGTACACATTTAAGCTTGATGTCATATCTAGATTGTCCCAAAATGATAGTCATGTTTTCCTTTTTTCACAAAGAAATTAAAGTGTACTACCATTTATACCTCTTCCTTTTTGTGAATTGTAAAAGTAAAAGAGTTAACAGTACAATAAAGTAAAGATATATGGGCTATTCTACCAAGCTTTCTTAATATTTGAGCCCAAATGATATGTGACCATCAATTTGGAAAGTGGGAGTAATTATTACACTCATTAAAATTTAAAAAAGCATATGTTCACCCACAATTTATATTTAACTTTTTGCCCATAACTATAGTTTTTTTGTGTTGGGAAAATAATTTATATACCCGAAATTTTTATGGGGTGTGGGGTGTGTACTCCAAACTTGCATATGTAGTGCATATATATACTCCGAACTTTAATAAAAAGTTATTTTCGCACCACGATTTTTACAGATATGAATTTATTAGAATAATTATATAATTTTAAATACATTAAACCTTGTTAGAAGGCAATTAACATTCTATAATTTCATTTATGAAATAAATAATATTACATCTGGTACAAATTAATTTTAATTACATCCTTATAAATATTTTTTGTATTTAAAATTATGTATTTAACCCCATAAAATACATTTATGAAATTATATGGTCATGGTGCTAACACAACTTTTTGTATAAAGTTTGTGGTATATATTACATGTGCAAGTTTGAGATACTTATGTCACACACTCACACCCCTTCAAATTTTGAGACATTTAAATTATACTTTTCCTTTTTTTTGTCCACAACTTGTATTTTAGTCCAAGCATAAATTTGTTTAACTTTTTTATTCCAAGGATAATTTCATTTCAACAGTCCAAAATTACCCTATGCATTAATTTAAGTTAACCCGTTTGAGAACTCCACCCAAAACCCAGCCCAAAAAAGTAACGTAGTTATACGGATTACATATCTAGGGTAAATCTAGGGAAACCTTTCTTCTTCCACATTCCAGAACTCATTCGATCGAGAGCTCCAAATCATCTCCCCTCCCTGAATCGCCGATACCGGCCTTCAACCTCAAACTCGTCGGTTGGCCATCATCACCGCACTCGCCTTGAACCTGTTCATCTTCCATCATGTACACCTCCCCAACAGCCTCAGCCAACCTCTCATGCCGTAAACTCCCCACCCACAGACAATATCACTCGGCCTCATCCCACCACTGATTCAACACTTCGAAGACTTCACTTCTAGCCCAGAAATGGAAAACTGCACAAACTTGAATACGCCGAAGCTTTCTGAAGGATTGTTTCCAGGAATCTCCAGATCTGTAAGTGTGTTTGCCTATATTTTGTGCAAGCTGTTATATTTTTATTCTATCTACTCTGAAATAAGTGGATGTTTGCCATTATTTATTTCCTAAATAAAACTTCTTGATTTAAGAAATTTATTTATTTATTTATTTATTTATTTATTTATTTATTTATTTATTTATTTATTTATTTATTTATTTATTTATTTATTTATTTATTTATTTATTTATTTATTTATTGTGAGCGTGTATTCTAGAAAATGAATCAATTTATGTTTTGGTCCAATTTATCCTTATGAAGAAAAACTTCTTAGCAAATCCAAGTTTAGTCAACTTTGAGTTTGGATGTTTAAGTCAAGTTTAATATAATGTGATAAGGCCCCCAATATATATTTTATTAGAATTTTTCTTTGCTCATTGAAGATTTAAACTCTTTTTTAACATTAAATGGACTGATATGTGACCAAGACATGATTTTGTGCTTTTGATAGGGTCTGATATTCTGAAAAATTGTTCAGAGCACTTCCAAGTCTCAAATATGTGAGTCTTTTATTTTTTACTCATTCTTTACTTCAGTACTTGGACTATCAGTTCGAACTTGACACATTTATTGTTGATTTCGGAACAAATTAATGTAAGCAAGGTGATTAGTTTTTGAGAGTTTATTATCTGTGAGGATTCTAGTAGAAATGAAATTAAATCGAATGCATAACATTTGGGTAATATGTACTTAACTTGTCCTTAATCATATTTAACTAAAATCATTCCATTAATCATTCATAAATCATTTAGAAACAATCTGATTTTTAAAATTGAAGCTCTGAATTAAAGTTGTTGTCCTTAATAACCTTGAATGGGATGGAATTGATAAAAATCTCTTACTTCAACTTTGTTATATATAAAGTGTAATTTGAATGCATTTGTGGTAACTTGAATGACATAATTTCTCAACTTGATGTAAATCTTGCTGTAATCTATTTGGAAAGAGTAGTATTTATAGGGAAGTGGATGATCTTCCCATAGAAAGAATGCACACCCCAAGAACAGGTTGTTTCGATTCGTTTGATCTTTCATGGGTGAGTACCGATTCGTTTTCCCTAAATGTGAATCTTCTCTTAAATATAATTCACACCGCTTATTGGTTTGGTCTACTTCTTGATTCGTATCTGTTTGATGATGTAGTCCTCAACCTTCGATCACACTTGTGAATAATTAAGCTATAAAATCCTCAGCCTCTTATGCTTCTGTCCAAAAGGTAAGTTAATTGTTTTTTACACAGGTTATATTTGTTTTTACTTAAGATTTAAGCAGAAATAATTTTTATTAAATATGTATTTTCAGATCTCTCAGTTAAACAATGACTAAGCCATTTGTAAAATGGCCAAAGTTAACAATCGGCTGACCTATGCCACTTGTAAGCTGCAAGGTGCCACTTCTTCAATAGATTTTGTGTTCATTTAATTATTTGGTTCGTTAAGATCTTTGTAACTTTGATTGAAATACGTATTGTGTAATACAAACTCTTATAGTTATTTTATGATTTGCTGAAATTGGGTAAAGTCTACCAATATTTTGCCTTGATTATACTTTGTATATTTTACTCATTTTCCAATAAATAAAGCAATTGACAACCTCAGTTACTTTTTTCTAATATGGAGTATCAATTTATAAAAACTTGCAATTCCATAAGGGTTATGTAAATCTGAATTGCAATCACATCAAAATTAACAAAACGTATAACAATTCCCTCAAATAATGAAATGGTTGAAGTTCAACAATGACACTATAATAAGATTATGTAAAGTTTACTTTTTACTGATTCAGCATCTGGTTTTCAAGCGAGGGTTTGTTACTCTGTGGCCAACCCAATTTTTTGAAGTCTTAACTACCTTAGGTGTTTCTTACATAACATTATAAGAATATCTCATTGACATGACCCACATAACTGTTTTTTTTCGTTTTGTAAACATTGTATTCATTTCACCAGGCTATTAAATAACGAACTAACTCTCACTCAGTTTTTTAAGACAATTTCTTAGGTTCTTTCTGTAGGTGGTGTAATTAATTAATATAGTTTATTTTTATTAGAGACAACAAAATCTACTTCCCCCCTTCCAAGTTGACATTCAAGGTAAGACATTTAACATATGATATTGTCCCTTTTGTAGGTTTTATAATGTTTTTGAACATGGTAATAATGTTCATGTCTTAAGAGCATCTGATAGCTAGGCATGGAAAATGCTAATAATGACTTTCTAGTAGTTAATTCA